CTTATTCCAAACGATCCTTTCAACCTTTCGTATTTTAAGAAATGAATCTATCATACAGACTAATGGCAAAAATAGATACGGTAGATGGACAGAAATGAGAAAGTATTTCTTCTCGTCGGTAAGTGCTGCATGATGTTCGAAAATCAAGGAAGCAAGAACGGCAAAAGTTGATGTGGCAGTTTCAGTCGCGTATATCAACAAAGGAAGACGAAGTGATGGGCTATCTATTGTTTTTTATTCTCAATTATTTGCGATATTACCAAACATAATGCCTTAAAAAATGATTTTGTACTGCTCACCTTTTACTAATCCGTTAATAGCATAAAAGAAGAACGGTAAATGCAAAAACAACTCGATAATCAAAAAACTCATAAACCACATTGGCTCAAAGTTGTAATTTGGGTCTGCCGTGAAATCTTTGTACCATTGGTTAATCCTTGTAATCGAATCTGGCACAAGTTGTTTTGGAAGTATAGGATATGTGTCGATTAAAATGGTAATTGGGATATGCGTCATAAAATATACCAAGTAGACGAGATCTTATTTTCATATTGAATCATTAGAAGTTTTGTTAGTTGTCTAAACGTACATATTCTTTGTAAAATAAATTTTTTACCTAATGGACGAGAAGTAAGTGGGACTGCCATGTTTTCTTAAAAGCTCTAGAAAACGTAAAACGTAAACGCTATTTTTTATATTACATGAATGAGGTTAGATCATTGATGATCTAGAAACATAAATGTAAGTAATAATCACGTGATATCATGCCAAGTGTATATACCAGTCAAAATCTTTATAATGTGATAGAACTATCTTTAGCATTTTCTGAACTGAAATCTTTCATTTTGAACAAATCAATCAAAGAGAATTATAAGTCAAATTATATAACTCTAAATATATATTCTTTATATTAAAATATAATTATTTTTATATTTTTCTTATAAAAAAATAAATAATATTTTATATTTAAAAATTTTATTAAATATTTAATAAATATTTTTTTTAAATAACTAAATAAA